TTCTCTCCCATATTTAACATTTCCCACAGAGCTCTGGCACACACTTTGGGAACTGCAAATATTTAGCAAAGAATATAAACAAACAAGGCACAGATGAAATACAAATAGTCAATAAATATATGAAGACATGTTTAATGTCATTCATGTTTAAGGAAGGGTAATTAAAACAATACATTTTTTTAAAAACATTTTTTTCTTAAAAATTAGTAGGTAAAAAAACAATACTCTCATTCTCCATTGGTGGGAAGATAGACTGTCACAACCTCTTCTGAGGGGCAACCAGCAGGGCCATCTCGTTGTCTGTACAATTTTTTTTTTTCTATACAGTGGCCTGCTCAGGGGCTGGACAAAGCAGCACCTTGGATGTCTGGTAGTTGCTGTCAACAGGGAAAATGCACACTTTCTTGCGGTACCCACTCTAGGACTCCGTCCCACAGACACAGAGGTAGGGGCCGAGGTAACAGATGCCCAAGGATGGTCTTCAGTAGCACTGACTCTACCAGGAAAATTTGGAGACAACCAATACAAGGTCCAACTGAAACAGTTATGGGATATTCCTACAAGTATCCCATTACATAAAGCCAGGCTATATAGCTATTAAAAAGAATGTTGTAGATTTACATAAGACACACTCAGTGAAAAAGCAAACAACAAAAATAATATATTTTTACTGATACCAAATTATTAACAGTGCAGGTAGAATTTTTTTAAGTTTGATGATTTTTTTTTTGGAATGGACTCCCATTAGCCAAGTTTGGGAGAATTTTATTTTTTAATTTATTTTAACCTTTTGATTAATTATATTTTATTTTATTTTAGGAGTAAAGTTTTGTTGAGTTTTTTAATAATTTAGAAAGCTTTATAGTAAAAATGTATTACTTTTTTAAAAAACATTTTTTGGGGAGATAATTATATCCTCACAACAAGTTGTAAAAACAGTGGAGTGGCCCTTTTCGGTGACTTCTTACAGAACCGCAGTGGCTGCACCAGAACCAGAAATCAGAAACCGGCGCAGTACTGTTAACGAGGCTGCGCGGCCTGTTCAGTTCTGCCATTTGCTACACGTACTTGTGTGTGTGTGTCTGTGTGAGCAATGAAAATTTTTAAATTAATTTTAAAGAGAGGGAGGAAGGGAGCGAAAGAGAAAGAGAGAAAAAAAGAACATCAATTTGTTGTTCTACTTATTAATGCATTCATTGGTTGCGTGTTACATGTGTTCTGACTGGAGATCGAACCCGCCACCTTGGTGTATTGGGATGAACTCTAACCCAACTCTAACTCTAACCAACCCTGCCATGGCACATGTGAGCAACTTTCTCCCACGCATGGGTTTGTGTAACCACCACCACAATCAAGAATACAAACCACCCTATCACCACAAAGAAGGAATGCGTTATTTTTGGCATCAGAAACAATAAAAGTAAAATAATATTCTTTCGATTATGTATTCCCTAACTCCACACTCAGGGTTAAAATCCACATACTAATTATTGGTACAGGTGGCTGTGCACTATTTTTCAGTAGGAGACAGAAATCAAAGAAAAGGAACTTTTTGATGCTCCCGAGAGAAAGCTAGGACTTTCCAGGGTTCCTGCTGGTCTGTCCCTTTGACTTCGCAGACCCGTGCTCCACGAGGCTGGAAGAGCAGTGGGAGGAGAGGCCCGCTGAGGGCAGCGAGGGCTGGCAGCAGGGCGGTGGGGCTGGCACTGCTGAGGGTTGCGGTAACATCACCAGTGCTGTCTCTTCAGCAAGCAAAACCAAAGCAAATGCCAAGTTAAGGTATTAATTTGCATTTTCTAGGTTCAGTGCTGCCATACAATCTGCCTCGTAGGAGTGTTTTACCGACAGAAAACTGGATTTCAGCATCAGGCCTTCGACTGGTAACAAACACACTTGCTCCGAGCTGCCCAGTGAGGGGGTTTGGGAAAAAGGCCCCGAAAACCTGTGCCTGGGCTGGAGCCAGCCTCGGGAGGCTGCTGGCTGACAGCATATTGCAGTAATAGAGTCCTCCTTCTGAAAAATGAATGTGGAAACTTATTTTTTTGACTCTTCAGGTTGCAGCTTATTTCAAAGGTCATCAAAGTAAACAAAGGAAAAGACTGTGAATCTTTGTAAGTCAAAAAGTGACAACTGTTTATAAAGCAGCAGTTTATATTTTCACATGATGGAAGGAAAAAAATGATTCCTCTAAGCCCCTGGGAATAGAGATTTGGGTGGTTCCCCCTCCTGCCCTCCCCAGTTTGTTTGTCCGTTCGCTGTTCGACACCTCCAGCAGTGAGGTCTGGGAACATCTGCTGCACCCATTTCATGTGCAACTGTGACAGTCTGCTGGATGGCTGAGGTTTGTGGAACAAACCAGGCAGTGTCTCAAGAAGCAAAAGCCTCTGCAGCCCTTGCTGATAACCGCCTTCCCATAATGCTGCGGAGTACGTGTGACGTCCACAGTGATACAGGTGGGCGGCACACAGCAAGGCCCCTGCAAATCTCGAGCCCCGTCTCCTACGAGGGCACCTTGTTCAGAGAGGGCTGATTTCACGCAGTCCATCTGAAACAAAAGGCCAGTGGAACCAGCCCTGTGCACTTCCCTCGGATCCCTGAGAGTGACCCAAGACCTCTTTTCACTGAAAATAATAAACTCTGGACATTCTTCTGACTGGATTTTTATACCTATTATTAGACATATTTCAAAATAATGAAACTAGATGGCATTAACATAATAATCTAGAAAGTACTTTTACATAGGATGCCATGTTAATTAATCATGGGCTTCCATGTCTATTCTAAAGACTGCGTATTATTTCTACTTGCCCATTAAGGCCCAGCTCAGCAGCTCCCTCTGTGAGGTTCTCCCTGGCACTTCTAGGTCGTGGCAATCTCTGCATCCTCTCGTCCCATAGTATTTATTATCTGAACCACTCATTTGGCACCTAAGATATGTTGCCTTGATTGCTATTTATCTTTTTATGTAAACCGTGTTGTTTTATCTCCTACAGAGCCTTACTGGAATGCAAACGTTTGTTGATTTGATTTTAAATTTAAGTCAATTGCCATGTGGGCTGAGATAAACAGTACTTTCAAGGCAACAGTTAACTCAATAGTGAAAGTAAACACCAAGACTGCTTGCAAATGTGCTGGCTTACAAAGATGATCAATGAATACAAGTCCTTGAGATTGGGATGGGTTTGTGGTGTGGGCCATCGGCCTGCTTTCCCTGGCCTACTAACATGAATTCATCATCTTCCAAGTCTACCTTGTAGAGACTCATAATCTTCCCTCTAAATCTACTTCAGTTCAAACACTGACTGGTGCCTCTGTGCAATCACTTCTCGAAGAAACTGCTAAGTTTATTTGTTGAATAAATGGCCAAACGAAACAATGAGTCTCAGTAACTATCTATAATCTTTTGGTCTTCTCCTTTCTATATATATACAAAATTTAAGATTTTATTTATTTATTTTTAGAGAGAGGGGAAGGGAGGGAGGAAGAGAGGGAGAGAAACACCGATGTGTGATGGAATCATCGACAGGTCACCTTTTGCATGTCCCCAACTGGGGGCCTGGTCTACAACCCAGACATGTGCCTGGCCAGAAATCAAACCTGTGACCCTTCAGTTTGCAGGATGACGCCCAACCCACTGAGCCACACCAGTCAGGGCCCCATTCACTATATTGCTGGAAGGCTATGAGGATCAGATTTAGAAATGTTCTAAGAGAAGTTGTCATGATTTCCTCCCATAAACAAGCCCTCCCAGCCAAATAGCAGGGCTGACTGCAATGGAACAATGAGACATTCCCCTTGGTACCCCTGATTCATGCTGAGAAATATTAGTATCTAGACGAGTGGCTCTAAAACCGGGGTGATTTCCCCTGGGGAACATGTGGCACTGTCAAGAAATATTTTTGGTTGAAAGGGGATGCTACTAGCGTCTATGGGTAGTGGGCAGAGATGCTGCTAAACAACTTACAATGCACAGGGCAACCCCTCTCAACAAAGAATTACCCAGCTCAAAATGTCAACAGTACTGAGGTGGAAAGAGCCTGGCTTACCGCAGGAGCTCAGGCTTTGCTGTCAAGACTGAGCTGGTGACCTTGGGAATGTTATTATATAACGAACCTTAATTATTATAACGAACCTCTCCGAACCTTAATTTCCTCGCCTATAAAATGGAGCTGATAACACCATGTCATAAGGCATTGTTACGTCTAAAAGATAATTAGTGTGAAAAGTTCTTTGGAATTACTCTTTCACAATTAGTCATCCTTATTAATTAATGAATGCCCTGTGTGTGGTTCCAATACTTCAGTGCACTTCAGCATCTCTCTGTGCTGGTGCAGAAAGGAGACTCACCTCATCCCTCTCCATTCATCTGGGGCATCTACGTTCTCCTGGTTCTGAGTTAGTAAGTAGCTTTCTTACTCTTCCATGGTATCTGCTTGTGTCCTTTCTTTGGCAGTTGTTTTCGCTTGGCCACTGGACTTCTCTGCCTGTTGCAGTAATGGTCCGTAGCAATACTTTTTTAGTGGTCTCTGATGATTTTTCCAGACACTGTGCTTTCTAAACTAATCATCTTACTGCAGCTCATAACAACCATCAAGTGTGTGGCAAGGGTAAGTTAAGGATTATGCCTGCCGTTTTGAGAAGTATAGTACTTTTTATCAAGTTTGCTCTTTTTGTCACAAGCTACATTTTCTCCATTTGTGATTTACATCTAGAGTAAGTGGTGCCATTCAGTGTTTCAGAAGAATAATTTGGTAACCCTTGAAGTCATTAGTTCTGTTAGCTATGACCTCAAGAGGTTTATCTTTGATGCTTTTTCCAATAGAGCACACTCCATAAATTCACGTATCCAGAGGTTGAATTTCCAGCTCCTTTGTAAAGGCAATTTGTAAATAGTTTTTCTTTTATTTCTCAACATAGCACAGATTTAGCTAGTTAAACAGGTTCTTTGCAATTCTACCAAATAAAAATAAGTTAAATTTCACTTAAAAAAGTGAAATACTGCGCTTGCTTGGATAGCTCACAGACTAAAACTGGAACAATACAGAGAAGACAGGCGTGACCGCTGTGCCAGGACGGCATGCAGACTCGGGAAGTGTTTCATGTTTTTTTATGGCCCAGGAGCAAATTCAGCAAAAAATAAATGCTAATGTATAGAAGTTAAAAAAAGTGAAATACCAATAAATGAAAATTAGTGTCTAGTAAACTATACACAAATGCAGTTAATAAAAGATTTAAGAAGGGTGGGGTAAAGAAAAGGCTTACTTTCTGAAGAATGTGAAGTTTTACTTTGGGAAAAGTCACAGACAAAGAGACCAGGGTGGATCTGAAATTGCATGCATGCTGTTGGTAGTCCACCCTCCATGACTACCTGCGTCTTTGTATTTCTCACATCTTCAGCAATGGCAGTGAAAAACGCAGGACATTCAATTGTTTCAATAAGACTAGAGCATGAAGGTGGGTGAGGAAGGCAGATATCCATAGCACAGTGGAAGACTACAAGGAGAGATCGTGAAGTTTATGCAGAATATCTGCAGGAAATACTTAATATTTAATACTGCAGGAAAATGAGGCCGAGAAACAAGTCATCACTGTTCCCAATGAAGTTACTAACTGAAATAAGAAATTAAGAATCCCTCTATTTCTATGAAAAAAATATTAGAGTCCCTAAAAAAATAAAAATAGAATTACCATAGGATACCACTTCTGAGTATATATTCAAAAGAATTGAAAGGAGGGTCTCAAAAAGCTATCTGTACATCTAGTTCATAGCAACATTATTCATGACAGCAAAAAGATGGAAGCAACTCAAGTGCCCACCGACAGATAAATGAATAGACAAATGTGGATGTACACATAAAATGGAGTATTATTCGTCTGTAAAAAGGGAAGATGTTTGACAAAGGCTACAACAAGGATGACCTTTAAGGATATTATGCAAAGAGAAATAAGCCAGTCACAAAAAAACCCCCCAAATACTGTATGATTCCACTTATATGAGGCATCACAGACAGTGAAACTCATGGAAACAGCAAGCAGAACGGTGGCTGCCAGGAGCTGGGGGCGCAGAGAAGCAGGGATCCCCGGTTCAGTGGGTCTGCAAGTTTCAGTTTTGTGAGAGAAACGAGTCCTGGGGAGCGGCTGCGCAATGGCGTGGACATTCGGGGTGGGCAAAGGGAGGTTTACAGCTGTAAGGAAAACAGAGTTTATTCTTGTACTACTCATTAATTACTGCATTATTTGTTTGTGCTACAACTATAAACCTACTTTTGTCTACCCTTGTATTTAATGCTACTGAGCTGAACACTTAAAAATGGTTAAAATGGTAAATTTTATGTTCTACTTATCACAGTTAAAATTTTTAAAAAGTTAAAAAAGATGTCCTACACTCAAGTCACCAATATGGAATACTGTACTACTGTGTTTGGTATCACTCTGGGGAATGTTTAAAGTTCTCTAATTACAGAGGTCTTCCACCTACTACGAAGCCTTGAGATATAAAGGTCTAACCTCAGAGTGTACACCTGAAACTCGTACAATACTGTATGTCAGCGGTACTTTAAAAACTTTAAAACAAAGCCTTGCGAATGAACTGCACCTTTGCTTTTGAGTACCAACTGTACTGTGAAACTAGATGCCCTCAGAATCCCATTTTGACTTCTTTTAACTTATAAAAATTAGCATCGGGTGCTAATTAAAAATAGTCACGTCTATCATTAGGGGCAAGCTATTGGGTTGTGTGAACTGTGGAGAAAGGGTGAGTTTTGAAGTGACACTGAGATACTGAAATGTAGGAGCAGATTTTAATAACCTGTTTTATTGCTTTTTCTAGTGTCCACTGCTGTTCCTATCTCTCTACTACTGTAGACTATTTAAAAAAGCATTATTATGCTCACCAGAGAAGACACAGTGAGGTATTATGATCTGTATGACTACGAGTCACCTTCGGGAGGAACGGAAGCTTGTTTCCTATCACAGTTGTGCTGACCCTGAAGCCCTCCCTCCCGTGCAACACCTGCTTTCTCTTTGCTCACAGCTAACACCCTCTCAACCTTCTGGCCTCTTTCGTGATCCCCACTCCACACTTTTTAAAACACTGTTGATAACTTTATCTTTCATTTAGTTATGCTGAAACCTGTTCAAAATTTCAGAAACTTACCAATTCAACTTAACATCGAGATAGTCCTTTTCTCCTCTTCTCCATCCTCCCAGTCCTTATACAACCCAATACTACACACAGGTCAGAAAACCTATCGGCTGCTTTGCTAGTTCACTATAGCAAAGACACCTCTCCCAGTACCTCTAGGGATCCAGCTGTGAGGCTGAACTCATAGAACCAACGTTCCCTCTATCGCTCTGGATGAGCATGTCATGAAGACTGCTGACCTCCCTGATTCTTATAGGATGTGTCATGAACAGTTGTTATTGCTATCTCTGTCCTGGTTTCCCATGCCTCTTACTTCATGCCCCTTGATCTTGACCACAAAACACTGTTACTAAACAGCTCACTCAGTCTCCTGACTCCTCCACTCCTGCCTCTGGTCAGTCTTGCCAGCTGCCCTTTAAACTTGGAAGAGTCTCCACATACAACTGCCAAGACGCTATTGCAGGTGCTTCCTCCTGACTCGTGTCTGCCTGACTACTCTCCACATAGCGACTGAGGGAGCCCTTCCTAGAGCAGAAGGAAGTAAGTGACGAAATGAAATCCAGAACACGCTTTGCCCATTAAATAGCTGTGCTTAGAAACGTGAAGATCTTCTTATTGCCCTTTATGGTCCTTTAAATTCCACAGCAAATTACCTAGACATATAATTTTCAACATTTGGGGGGTAAATCTCTGTTATCTCCTGGATCTGATGCAAGAGTCACTCTCACCTATAGTAACTTAATTTTATACATCGAATCCCTCCCTTCAGAATAATTAAAAAAGCAGATTCTGGCGTCCTACGTCAGATCCATGCAGTCAAAACCTTCAGGACAAGAGCTTGGGAATTGGTATTTTAAATAGTATGCCAGGTAACTCTTGTCACGTAAGTTTGGGAAACATTTGACAGCCCATCAATTCACCCTGCTTTTGTCAGTGTCTCAACAACCAGAGGTTTGAAGATGTACAGAGGTCTGGTCATTCAGCCAGATGGCCTGAATTAGTGAGGATTTAGTCATGAAAATTCTACCTATTTCCAGCCATGCTGGTAATCTGACTTAAAATTAAAACTATATGATTTTGTATTCTAATTTTTCTGTTTCCAATTTGTTGGTTATTTTTCCCAAGTTATACTACACAAGATTCTGGTGATGAATTTATATTGCTTTATATCCACCCAGTGTTTAATTAGTACAGTGTTGAGCATTTAATTGGAACTCAGTTAAGTCCTTACTGATTGGTGGGTACAAGTACCACCCAACTTAAAAAAAAAAAAAAGCTTAAAAACTCCCCATCCTGAAGCCAACCCGAGTATCGCAGCATACTTCCCTCACCAGTAGGTTAATGAAAACGAGAATGCAAATTTGGGGTTTGTCCCTCGCCTTGAAAGAGCAAGGCAATTATTCAGCGATTTGGCCAGATTTCCAGAAACTATTGTTATGCCTTGTCTGACTGCCTAGATTTCTCATAATAGAGTCAACTTCCTTTCATCCCCCAAGGATTACTGCTCTGACCCAGTGTTCTTTCCACCATCGTGCTGGGAAGGTCTCAGAGTTCATGATTTGCATCTGAGAGCGTCATAAAGATTCAAGTGGCAAGCCTGCTTTCAGGCAAGGACTCACAGGAACACTTCTCAGAGAGAAAGAGAAGTTTCACATTGAGCACTACAAATGTTCAAGGATTCTTATTTTAAAACATACTTATTCAAAACTTGAAGACCACTCTAGATTAAAGTATACATGAGTCCTATCAAAAGAAAAACGCGGGACCCTTTCTAAACAGTGGGAGATTACCAGTTTTATAATATCCAGGAAAATAAAGTTGAGCAAACCACAGTGAGCCAATTTACTCAAGAAGTTAACACTGAAACAGGTTTCAGTTTGGGGTGGGGGTGCACCAAAGCCATGTCCAATATTACATTTTGTAGGATGGACCCATTCTCCGTTAAATAAAAAGCTTCAAAGGCAAACAATGAATGCTCTGTCTGATGAGATGCATCCTTGAAACTGAGCAGATTTCTAAATCAATGCATAGACCAGGCTATTTATAAACTACTTCCCATCAACCTCAGCACAACGTCAACTAACAATAACAAGTTAATGTTTTCCAGTAATCTTCACTGTGCTATTTAATTGCCAGCACTCAGGCCAAGGTAAACTCGGCAGTAACAAAAGAGCTAACATCACAATCAAAGAACAAGATTAATGAATTTACGTTTGTGCTTTGAAGTGAATGCTGAAAATCAGGCCCATAACATATTCTTTTTCAGCCATTGGACTTTAATTGTGCCAAATAGCTTATAGAGTGACTGGAAGGTAAAGTTTTAAAATATTCTTGTTTTTAATTAACCACAAGCTTTAATCCTTGGGGAATTATTTTTTAGATCAAGAACATCCTCTTTGTAGTATTATAAGGTGTATAACTCCCATATTGCCAAACATAATTTCTAAACCCTGACCACCATTTTTAAAGTTTTTTTAAAAATTGAAATACTACCCAACATGCCAAAAACTGAAGTGCACCACTTGATGAATTTTTATATATGCCTAATTATACAGCTTTTAGTTGTAATAATGTAACTCAACAAATGACTGCATTACATAAAATTATCACGAACTATCACGTTTGCTGTAACAGGTACATTACAGATTCTTTTGTATTGGGATTAAAAGGAAGCATTCCCATCTCTCACCTAGACTTATCTGGTAACAGTGGGTACTGAGTATTCATAATATAAGAAACAGAAGCACTTGCTATTTGTGGGGAGAGGGATGAACCTTCAAAATACACAGTAAGAAAATGCTCTTATAAAAATGAAGATGAAAGAAAAACCAAAATGTGTATTTTTTGCTACAAAGGGTAAAAGATCATTAACTGCTTTTCAAACTGATTTGTTGGTAAACTCACCCCTGAATATGTCAACTCTTCAATAAACCAAATGAATTAAACCTTCATAGTTTTTCCAA